AACAAGTGTTTACCTCCTTGGTAGCAGAGGTAGTGTGCTACCGAAAAGCCAAAGCTTCCTATCTTGGAGCCATTTGTCCATGCGAACGCTTCTCACAGGTATTTCGTCTGTTCGATGGAATATTCAAGATGCATCGTCGGCAACCTCGGTCTGACTCTTGTTGATCGCGTCTGAGGTGTCGGCATTATTGCCAGGATGATCGTGTGCCAGCAGTACGTTTCACCAGTGAATCAAACCGATTAACCGTTCGACCATTTGTTTAACTACGTCACTCATGCTGACTTGCGAGTCTGATCGATAATCCGTACGTTGCCAGTTCACTTGAGAATAACTAACTACGCGTTCTCCCAATTCGTTCATCATACATACAACACTCTAGTGACGACACTATTACGTGATGTGTGTTTCTGTTTGCATGAAAATCAAAGGATCTAAAAGAGGACAAACTTCGATTTGCGCGCATTACTTACCCTGTGACATTTAGTAATACATGCGACTGGATTGGAGTTGCGAGTTGATTGTAATTTCTCGTGTGCAATGGTGCCTAATTGGACGCTTTTATTGAAATTGTTTTAAATTTTCTTTTTTTTTTTTTTTTTTTTTTTAGTAATTTTGAAATAATATACTGTCGACGAGGAATTTGAAGTGTACAGAAAAGTTTTGTAATCATTTGTAATAATTGAGCGAAGTAAAAAGACAGATTGATACAAGGATTGTTTGTTATCAAAGAAAGAACAGAAAAACATTTAGAGTTTCTAGAGTATGAAGAAATAACAGAAATAATAGCGTCTTATGTCTGTACTTTCGTGTGATAATCTAAGGAAGTAAATGCTTCTACAAGTGCTTCTAAAAATAGAAATAAATACACCTTATTTCTACCTTTAATTTAGTAGGACTATATTTTTTCTTTAGCGACCAACTCCTTTTACGTGCGTGTGTCATTAAAAAAATGATTTATTATCAACGTTGTTACGATTAACACTATAACATACTTATCGATTTTGTTTCATTTTTTTTTTTTTTTTATTATTTTACACAGGATAACATGTTAGAGCCTCCCTTTACACAAATATACAGAACGTGTACGCGTTAGTCGTGACGTGGTCCCTGCATTTGCAAGAACGAAATATTTCTTATCGTATACGTAGAATAAATTCGTAAATATTTCTTTGACCAGCATTTACGAATAAAATTTTATGCGATGTCCAAGTGAGATGGAGAGATCCTTTTGAAAATTGGATTGAAACAAACTTAGATTACTTTACAAAATTCGCTTCTCTTCGTCGGATACAGTTGAATCTTTATGTAATGTAATTCGTGTATCGTAAAATTGAGAGTTCATGCATAAAACATTTCCGATGCAATACAATTATACAATTTTACATGTCTATGCTGTGTTTTTTGCGTTTTTTTTTTTTTTTT